CTTTAAAATTTAAATCACTAAAGGTGGAAGAGTTTCAGATTGAAACTAAGAAGCCCATTGTTTCCTGGATTCATTTCTTCCCTGGGAAAGGCAAGGGTGAGGATCTCTGATCTAGGGGTGGACACCCCTCACTTCCAGCTTCTCTTGTCATGCCTGCAGCCCTTGACCCACATCTCTTTCACTGTCTCATTTTCCTATGTGTCTGTCATCTTTTTCTGAGCATGCGTTCCCTCTTCTCTCTGCTCCTCCCGTTTGTTGTGTTGATAAACAAATGCTTGATTGGAGCTTTTCTGTCTGTAATAACTACACCGAAAAAGATGCAAAGGTGGCTGTTCTTTGTGTGTAGGTACACCCCTGGCCTGGGTGTGCAGACAGCCCACCACAGCAAAAGGATCATCTCCTCTTGAAAAATAAAAGGCATGCCTTGAGCTCTGGCCTGGCCCCTAATGCTCCCTGAAAATTAGCTGTGGGAAAACCATATACATTTCTGCATAAAATGGAAGCTTGCCACTTCTGCCAGGGTGCTTGCTTCAGAGAGTGTTGTTTTCTGGAATCCTGCCAACCTCAGAGAATTCACCCAGTCATCCAGGAAACACTGAATCATTTCCATGTATGGACATTTTCCTTTATCAATTAAGAACAAAGGGACGTTGTTATTTTTATCCCTGATTGCTGTTACTTTACATTAAAAATTTTTTATGCAAATGCTGACATAATCAGAACTATCTGAGGAGATTAAGGCCAGGGAATGAGACCAACAGCCCCGTCTGTTGCTGGCATTTAACAGCGAGTGCTTCAGTTTTTAGAAGTGGGTTTGAAAGCCAAGGTGACATGCCAGACATTCCTTCTGAAAGTTAGATAAGGTAATGATGGAGCTCAGAGGAAAAACCAGCATTTCGCTTGCAATTCTGTTTGGGTGACTGGGGTGGAGGGATGACAGTTCTGTGGAGTGATTTACATGGCATTGTAAAAAAAGAAAAAATGTCCGCGGGTGATGACTGAGGCATGAAACAATGGACATCCAGGGCCACTGCCAGCAGAAATACCCCAGGACCTTTCCACCTCCATGACTGGAGAACTTGTGCATAGAACATTATCCCTCACCCGGACACCAGGGGCTACACTCTCAATGAATGTGGCAAGGTGGGGGATGATAATAGGGAAATGCACATGCTGACTTCCTAGAACAAAGGTCCAAGATGGGTTTGAAATCTGTGCCCCAGAGCAAACATTTCAGAAAGACATCTCTCACCAAAGCACGTTACCTTGGGTAAATTGCCCAAACAGACAGGTTTGCAATTCTTGGGTGGTATTTCTGGCTCAAGTACCTTATAGCATATCAGCAGGATGTCAGGGTTGGACTCCGGGCTGCGGCCTCTCCGCAATTTGTGCAGACACTAATGTGTTTCTAATCTTAGGTGTGAGTTTGCACATTTAAACTGAAGTAGCATCTTAAATATTTTTATTCATTTATTTTTTTTTATTAAGGTATCATTGATATACAGTCTTATGAAGGTTTCATATAAGTACATTGTGATTACAACATTCACCCATATTATCAAGTCACCCCCACACCCCATTGTAGTCACTGTCTATCAGCATCTTAAATGTATAAATTCTGTGAGTTTCTCTTATTTTTTTAATAGCAGTTTTACTGACATTTAATTTATAAACAATCAAATTTACCTATTACTTTTGTATTTCAGAATACTTTTTCATTCCCCTCAAATTACCCTCATTTCCCACTGCGATCAGTCACCTACCCCCTGGCAACCACTGTTTTCCTCCCTTTGGGTTACAACTTCTCCAGAGAGTTATATACACAGAATCCTAGACAGTCTCCTCTTTTGTATCTGGCTTCTTTCACTTAGCACAATGCTTTGCAGTTCATCGATGTTGTACATATGTCAGTAGTTCATTCCCTTTTATTGCTGAATAGTATCAAGTTGATTTTTGTCTGAATTTGGAAATAAATGAGATTTATTTGGGTCAGATAGAAAACCAAGTGGATTTTTGTGGCCTTTTTGGAAAGCATGTGTTAGTTGAAGTTAATCATAAGAATACCTTCAAATCCATTTCACCTGTATGTTTTCTCTGAATTATGAGATTTTGAAATAAATTATAAAGCTTTTAAATTATTAAAAATGAAGTACTAAATTAAAAAATCTTGAAGCAGTAGGCAGACAAACCTGAATGTGAAGGAAATTTCCAGATACAAAGCAAAAATAAATTAACTAACTAAAAAATTAATTAACAACTTCCAAGTAAACGTTGGCAATCTGGACACTAACCTGGATTAGACTAAGAGTTCCACAGAAGTTTAAAATTATGATTGAATAATCAATTAGTAGAAGAGATAAAGCAAAAAACAAAAAAAACCCATCCCATCTTTTTCATGTGGTATTTGTAACTGTAAAAAGGAAAAATGGATGGTTCTTAGTGATAGTAATAATAGCAACAATAATTTTTATTGTTATAGTTTACTTGTAGAGTGTGTATTATATGACTGGTGCTGCCCTGAGCACTATGTAGGTCATTAACTAACTTAATTTTCCCAGCAACCTTAGCAGGTAAGCGTTCTATTACTTATCCCCATTTACAGGTGAAGGAACTGAGGCGTAGAGAAAAGTAAGTCACCTGACGGCAGGTGAGCCAGGATTTGGCCCTGGGAACCTGCTCCAGACCTGGACTTGTGCCCACTAGAGCACTCTTAACCCTCGCAGCACTCAGAAAAATTCTCAGACTGGCAGAGGGGGTTGATATGGTCTCCGAGCAAGGCAGGAGATCCAGCCCTGAGCAGAGGCCTCACCCCTGGGCCAGGCGGGTGGCTGAGGTGTGTGAGGAGCCCCAGCGTAAGGCAGTGAGCATACTGTTCACATAAAAGGCTCCTGGTTGGTCTGGCTCCTGGGGGCCTGCTGCTCATTTTTCACCCCAGGTCCCGGTGACCTCTGGGTGATCCCAGGTGCCCTTTCAGAGCTAACATGCTAGGAAAATCAGAAATATTTGTTGAGAGTCCACTGTGACCTGGCATTCTTCTTGCCCATAGGCCACAATCTGATTGGATTGTCATCTATGTTGATAAGTAACCACTGAGTGCATATTGTAAATTTGTGTTTTTAATCTGATCTAACAATGAGTTTATGGACTCCAGAACTAGATTGCCTGGTTCTGAATCTTGGCTTTGCCCCTTACTAGCAATGTGTCTTTGAGCACACTGCTGCCTGTTACAAGACCTTTCCATGCCTCTATTTTCTCATCTGAGAAATGGGGGAATTAATATACCTATTTTATAGCATTGTTTTGAAGATTACGGGGTGATTATGTGCAAAGGATTGACAACCTGGATGGCAATGAGGAGGTCCTATGTATGTGTTAGCGACTATTAGGATCACTATCCAAAAATAATGGTAGATGAAAGTATCTGTTCCAACTTTGGAGATACAGTAGACCAGAGTACTCTGTATCAAAATGAAGTTTGCCTGTAAGATGTTACTCCAGGGCCCTGTTCTTTGTTCCTGCAGGGCTGTGGAGCATTGCACAACCCTGATGGGTAAAAGTACAAGGATCAGGAGGCTCAGGGACATGACTTCAGCCTCTCCAGTGCCCCAGCTGCTAGCAGGGAAAATGTTACATAACCTTTCTCTGAACTGACACTCTAGCAGTCTGGACACTGAGTTTTGAGGTAGAAGAATCTTGATGCTGTTTGTTTGATTCCTGGACAGAGTAGAAGAGAACCAAGCTTGGGATGAGAACATTGAACTTCCCTTTCTTTTCCTTTTCTTCTTCTTTTTTTATTTTATTTTTTGTTGTTGCTGGACATTTTAGAGTAGGTGTCGGCCAGTTTGTGGCAAACCACCTGGCGTCTGTGGCTCTGTTGCTGTGTTCAGATCCTGGTTATTCCTGAATGCCTCATTCATGCTCCATGTTCTGTGCAAAGCCATCCCTAGCTATATCTGTCAGCCCAGACAGGGGTCGATTCCATGCAGAAACTGAAATTTTTACACCCTTGACACCTAATCATGTCTATCTCTTATTGTTTGTTGCCCTATGTTGTTATCATCTATAGAACTATTTAGGGAACATTCATTCATTTAGTCAGTGAACAGCATTTTTCTGGGGTTCTTTGCAGGCCTTGACGATGTGAAAAGTAGGTGTGGTTGCTTGGACAGATTGCATACGTATATATATTGTGTGTATATATAAATCTCTGGTAATTAAAAAATCTCTAGGAGGGACCATAGCCTTCTCTTTGACTTCTGGCAATTATTACTACCAGCCTCCATGGGGAAATGGACAACGTAAGACCTACAAGACTTGCAGTGTTCTAGACGTCACTCACTTCACCCAGCACAATGGACTTGGATGAAAGTACTCAGGTAGTCTCAACCTTGTCTAATGGAGCCATAGAGAATGACATGAGAAATATGCTCCAAGATGGAAAAGGAATACACAGTCTGGATTCTCTTTCTTATTCCATTCAACAGAACATTTCTTGAGCACCGACTGTGAGTTAGAGACTGCACCAGTTGTCAGGGATGCAGCCTGGCCAGGGAAGGAGTGAAGTGTCAGCAGAGGGCTGGGTGGGGGTGGGCTGCTGTATTTCATTCAGAAAGGTGGCACCTAGGCCAGAGGGTGGAGGGGACCCCGTTGTGACTCTCAGACTGGCCTGTTCTCCTTGGTGTCTTTTAGACCAGAGCTGATCAGGGCTGCTGACTTATTACTGAGTTTGCACCCTTGGGACGGGGCCTTCCAGTCTGAGGAAGGGGCAGGCTGCAGCTACCTCTGTGAATTCTGGACCACCCTGGAGAGAAGGAGGGCTCTGGGGCATCTGGCACATTCCTCTAGAAGGATCCTGGGACGCAGCCTCTACAGCACACCCTTGGCCTAGGCCAGGTGTGCGCCCATCTGGAGGCGGCGGGGGGAGCCGGCGGTTCGGGTGAGTGCTGCCGTTTGTCTGCCTCCAGAGGGCTGGTCCTCCTTATTCACAGGTGAGTCACACCCTGAAACGCAGGCTCTCTTCCTGTCAGGGCTGAGTCAGGTAGAAGAGCTGATAAAACCACCTGATCAAGGAAAAGGAAGGCACAGCGGAGCGCAGAGTGAAAACTACCAGCCCGAGGCGCGGGGCAGCGTCTCCTGCAGCGGCTGACGGCCCGGCCATGCCTGCTCTCTGGCTGAGCTGCTGTCTCTGCTTGTCGCTCCTCCTGCCTGCAGCCCAGGCCACCTCCAGGAGGGAAGGTGAGTCGGCTTCCAGGGGGGCACTTCGCAGCCCTGGGCTGTGAGCTGGCCTCTCTGCACAACTTGATGGCTGAAAGCACCTCCGGGGATTCCGGGGATTCCCAGGTTGCCCAGAACCTCTTGGAGCGCCCTCCCCCTTCCGCAGCTGGGGCTTCCCCAGAGAGTGGTTTAAAACAAGACTAATATTGTATATAAAGTCCTATTTAAAAATATGAAGCCAGTAGGTTGTGCCAAACTGGGATTTTCCTACTTTAAAAATGTTCCTTCTCAGCTGCTTTTTTGATAAAGGGGCCCCTGTTTGATCAATAATATCAGTAATCAACAATATGTTGGCATATAAATTCTTTTCTCTATGTGTGTTTTTGTCGATGGTATGTTGTGGGAATGTTTTTTGTGACTGAGCACCACAGAGATCGAAAAGGAGCCTCTTTAATAGTCCTTGTGGGATTTCCATTTCATCTTTGGGATGGAAAATGCACCTTGAGTCTTAATAATGCTTTACTTTTGCATAATGTTACTTTTAGTAGTATTGTCACGTGACATTCATTCCATAGGCATTTATTGGGCACCTATGCCGTAGATCATTCGATCTTATCCAGGGCACCCAGTGGCGTGAGAAGTTCAGCTTATGTAAACAAAACTTTCTGAACACCTAGCAACTGCCCACTGTATGCATGTGTCAGCTATGACAACACATAACAGGTGTTTTCCTTGTTACTCAGTTTTACCAAATATGTATATGCTAATTTGCTATATAATTACCCTGAGTTTTCATATTTATATTGCTTCCTGCACCTGATGGCATTTCAATAATCGTTTCAATAGGCCCAAGAGCCATTTTCACACATGTACCTCTGTGAATATGAGACAATGTTCATGTGCACATGGAATTATCTCAGACATTCTATTTTTTACTGTGCAGTCTGGGTGATGCTGGTCTGAATTGTATTTAAAATGGCATGAATATATTAGCATGTGTTTGAATGCATTGATGCAGTCCTTTTTTTTTTTTTCTGAAATCATTTTGGAATTCACTTCCAACCCATCATCCCTGACTACCATTTTTAAAAACATTTATGAAAATCATCATGTAGGTTACATTCCCTTAGAGTTAGGATAAGTAGCCTTAACCTAGTGAGAATCATCCGAAAAGTAAGGATAGTCTCCAAGTATTAGAATTCAAAAGGACTGCTTATGGATTAACTACTGTAATCCCTTGTCTTAAAAAAAGAAAACATGGAAATGGATTTGTGCAAAGCCACACAAGCAGCTATTGGCATAGACACATCTGGTGCTTGATCCAGGAGTTCTTAGGCTGGAGCATGTGGCTCCATTGGTCTGGGTCATAGTTCACACGGGGAGGTAGGCCTGGAGAAGGGGTAAGAAGAGACAGGAAAGAGACTAGAAATGTAACCAAGAATCTGGTTGTATGGAGCCTTACGTGCCAGGCTGTGCAGATGTGTTAGTGCCCTGTAGGCAAAGAAGACTTGTAGGTGGTTTATGGGCAGCGATGGGCGTGGCCAGATTCATTTTTCAGAAAGACCATCATTGAACAGCTTAGAGGATGGAGTTGAGGCAGGCAAGGCCAATGAATGGCCATTGCAGTAATCCAAGTGAGAGACGATGAAGGCTTCTACCACGGTGGTAGAAACGGCAAAGAAGAAACGGGTTACAGAGACATTTAGAAGGTAACATTGAAAGAATTTGGTGATCCAGTGAGTGTGTGCATTAGGGACACAAGGGAAAATCATGAGATGAGGAGGAGTCCAAGATGGGTCCGAGGCTTCCGGTTAGTGTGATTGGTTAGACAGCAATGCCATCAAAGGAAATGAGGACTGAACAGAGGATCAGATTTGCCAACAGGGTTGGGCAGTGGATGAAGAGGAAGGGAGGGGGTTCCTGCAGGGACCCGTTGAATTTGAGATGCGAGTAGAGATGTCCACCAGGCCCAGTGAACAGCTGGAACCATGATTTTGAAGTTTAGAAGACAAGTTTAGAATATAAAATAGGGAGCCCAAAGGTGGAAAGCAAAGCTTTGACAACTTTGAGACTACCTGGGACACAGAGGTAAAGAAAATTCAACAAGGAGATAGAACAACAAAGGAGAATGAGAAGGCATGAACACTGAGGACAGAGGAGAGTTAATAAAGAGGAGTGTTTTGTCAACCAATATATGGTGTTCAGATATAAAAATAAGAATGTAGAAAGAATGAGAACTAAAATGGTACTGTTGAGTGTTATTGTTTTAGGATGCTAAGAATCCAAGATTATTATAGGTTGCTAATTTGGTTTCTCCTATGGCCTGATACTAAAAAAGAGATACTGTGGTTAGTGGAAAGGTCCCCCTGGAAAGGTTAATGCTTTCCATAGATTCTGTTATTTAAATCATTCAAGTGTTACAGCATTATGCATTAGCGTGCAGGCCTGGGTTCAAATCTTAGCTTGGTCATTTACCAACTGTGGGATTTAGACAAACTACTTCGCCTGTAATTCAGTTTCCTCAGCTCTAAGATGAGGGTAATAAGTTGTTGTGATCATTACTTGTAAAGCACTTTGCCCATTGCCTGATAAGCACACAATGATTATGTGTTCAATATCATTGTTCCATAACTCACTGGCCTGCCAATACTGAAGGTCAGTATATTGCCTTCTGAGTTTTAAGTGGTGAAATTTTTGAAAAGGCTCCATTCATTAGCCCAAGGAGGTCTCTGCTCAGACTGAGATGAACCCCAAATTTTACCCACTTGAAACAAATGGAATTCCTGACAAGGAACCAAAGCATGTTGGAATTTCAAGGTTGAAATTCCATTTCTTCTCCTTGCCTTTTGTTAACCACCAGACATCATCATATACAGATTCAACAAGTCTGTTGCTCTCCAGAACAGGTCCAAATACCAGATAACCCCGCATGAGATGGTCTCTCACTTCTCAATGGGAAGGTCTCTCCACCAACACTTAATAATAGGTTTAGCCAACTTGATTATGGAAACATTTAGCAATATAGATGCAGTAATCACATGTATCTTTAATTTAGTAAATTAGTTACATAAACACATTTAAAGTCATATAATTTATAAAATAATAACAGAAGTATTGGCTTGTTCATTCATATTTCATAAAGTTATTTATATTCAAGCTCCATCTGTAGCATTCCTAAAACTACTTTAATATAGTTTCTTCTTTGCTTCAGACAAGGTGGCTTGAGAGACAACTCTGAGCCTGCTTTTGATGCTTTCACTAGAAAATTCACAATTTTCAAAACATTTAGAAGATTTAAAAATTCTCCTAAAGTGCTCATTGTGACCTTCACAGCTTAAATACCTTGAAAGGCTTATTTATGACAACTTTTAGTGGTCACAGTTGTGAGATAATGAACAATTATGTGAATTGTGTTCAGTAGCTATTACTGATAAGTACCCAAAACACTGATTGAGGTCATTTCAGATTAATGTGTCTTCTCCCAGAATACTTTATTTTTAAAATAAAGTAATTGAGGAAGTGCCCTGTGATATGAGAAATTTTGAAGACTTACATGTGATCTTTTCTCCCCTGAGAGAAGAAATTGGGAAAACAAAAACCTCCACCTTATATTCAAGTATGTACCATAAACAGGAGTATAGAATTGAGTTGGAGTATAAGCTGGAAATTTCTATGCAGGCTTAAAGTCTGGGTGTCCTGACCTGCAGGCAGCCACTGGTTTAGCTCCACTGATCTGAAAATGATCCAAGTAGAATGATCCAAGGAATCCAGTGATTCCAGAAAAAAATGTCAATTATAATTAGTATTTATGGTAAAGTCAGGTGCATAAAATTAAGGTGTTGAGACAATCCTGGGGCAATTCTTTCCCACTTAAGTTTTTAGTGTCTCAACCATATTGACTTTTTTTTTAACCTAGAGAAATTCGCAAGAACGAGAGTTGAGTCATTTATTACAGGCTAGTGTAGAAATAGGAGATCCACAGATTCTGGCATACTCTGAGTTAGTCGCAAATTAGACCTAGTAGATCACTGACTCATTACTGGCCTGTTCTAATATAACCCCCAGCTATATGATACAATATTTGAATCCTATCCAAAGCCAAAAGCTGTCTTTTCTGTGTCTGTGGGTGACAGTATGTCTGTGTATGGGCCTCCCCAACAAACACATGCTGCTTTATGTTACAATTATGAAAGAAGAAAAGGATGATGACTCCTCCAACACTGATCAATGGAAAGGCTCGCGTCTTTCCCTTCTGCTGAATCAGTTGGGCAAAGGCTTCCGTATCCTGGACATCTTTAGGTTTGTCAATCATTGACAGAATTCCAACTATTGTTTTCCAGACTTTATTTTTATTCATTATATGAATATGGATCCTCACATTCTAAAAAAATTAAATTGCGGTCAAATTATTTCTCACATTAACTCAAACATTAGAAAAATTACCCAAATCTTCAGCTGCACTTATGTGGGACGTTTCTTATAAAAAGGTTTGCATGTTTCATCACTTTTTTCTCTTACAGCTTTGTAAAATTAAGTGAAAATGGGCTTTAGGGGTTCTCTGTAAAAGACTCTCATTTTATAGATGAGGAAAATGGCACCAGGGAGGTAAAGTAGCTGTCCAAATTCTCACACCTGGTTGTAGCAGAGCTGGACCCTGGCATGTGGAACCCTCATTTATAGATGAGAAAATTGAGAAAATCACTCAAAAGTGATTGCCTTGAGCAGAACCATGCAGGTAGTAGCAGGACCAGATTTTAGTTGCTAGTGTAATATTCTTTAATAAGATACTTCCTTGGCTTATTTCTAATTATTAAGAATTTTCATTTAAACTTGATCTTCAGACTTGATAGAATCTTGCTGAATTATGAGAATGTTCCTTATGTCCCTAGTTGATCCTAGGGACATCTGTGTCCTGTCTATTCAGAAGTCTCTGTATGTGTATGTGAGTCAGCGTAGTGGCCTTTCCTTCCAAAAATTCAGAGAACAACAAGTTAAAACCAAGTACAAGCTTTCATTTGTGG